CTACACTAATAATATATATATATATATATATATATATATATATATATATATATATGATATTCTGGTATATTTGTAACATAAAATATATTTTTCGAAATGTTACTTTTTTCATGAAAATCCTGTATAATTCACCATCTGATTAATCAATCTCGGAGATTGTTCGAGATAGAGAATATCAACTAGGAAGCGGCGCTATTTACAAACTAAGACTCACTGCATCTGGTTCTTGGATTTTAATGAACGGACGAATCGGAAACGTCCAATGGAAGTTATATACACGCCCTGACCGTTCGCTTTTTTCTTTTTAGAGTCTGAAAGATTGCACTTATTTAGTGAATTCACACTCACTTTTTTGAAACGTTCCATGTTTTTTAAAAGCGTTCTATCACACATCACTAAAACGAATTCTTTCTATAATTCGTAGCGTAGTATCTTTTATATCTTCAAGTAGAACTTTCGGCAATGTATCTACGTATTGATATTATTAATTCGCCTTCGTGTACGTATCGACCGTTTCTAAGCCTCGTGAATCTGTTTTTCGATGATACTAATTGATGTCGTCGCGAGAGAAAGCCATCTTGTTATAGATATTTATTCACATTATATATCTATCTTTGAATAATCTCCGTGCGATGACTTCATCGATCCTAGTAGTCCATTCCGTTACGTTGATCTTCACGAATTTGTGAAATGTACCTCCCCTCCCCCAGAATGTCATATCCGATACGATCTGCGACACCAGGCAATATCGTGTACATTTATAATTTCCGATTATTTCCTGTATCTCGCGGGACTTGCCGACCTGAATGAACATTTCTTCTCAAGATTCAGATTGTCGTCCACTCATTTAACTCCCCCTCCTTCACAACACCTCGAGGTGCTCGTTCGCGATGTCACCGCGTCGGTAATTCTTCCTCGACATCGGATGATCATCCGTGCCGATTGCGTCTTCCGATTCGTTGCCCTTGTCGTATCACGCGGGCGAAAAGGGCCTGTGGATCTGCGGCTTTGGATTCACCGGCGGTGGCGTTGCGACTCTTATCAGCCCCTGACCTTGGGACTGACCCTGAGGTGTCGATTGCCGAGGGGGTGGACTGCCTCGGGACGATGGGGTATGCGGGCTGGGTACAGCCACCCTCAGCGGACCGGTGACCGACAGGTTTGCCGCCATCAATGGCGGGCTGTGGGCCTCCGATAAGCTATCCGAGAGACGAGATAACCCTCCGTCGGATAGTCGCGACGTTTCGGATATCCTAGATATTCCCTCGGACAGCTGGTGCTGAGGGTGCGGATGATGCAGCAGGCCTTCGTGCGGATGGAGTCTCGGCGGTGGTAGCCCTAGCGAATCCGGTAGTCTGTAACAGAACAGAGAAAGAACTGCATTTTCTCTGGAGAAAATACAGTTTGGCGGAATCGCGATCTGTTATATGCGACTTGTCTTGTTGTCGATATATAGTATCAATTCGCATGTAATCTACAGCGAATTATTAAATTCTCGAGTCAGATTGAATAGAAATTAAACAGAATAAGGAGAGTGAAAATAGAATATCTCAAAAAAATTCGTGAAACGAAGTCGTTAAAATTTACCTCGTCGTCGGATCACCTCTGGGCCCTACGGCTTGAAAAGGGCTCGACTCCGCGAACCTGAAAATCCCACCACCCGGCATATTCGGATGGTTAGGTTGTGGACTGTGCGGTCCGAATCGGAAGCTCGTCGGTGGGAACTTGAAAGCTGTCGTATGACCGAATCGAAAGTGTGGCTGCGTAGGATCGAAACGGAAATTCAAAGAGGGTGGTGGTAAGGGTCCAAGAGATCCAAGGGGCACTGGGGACGGTTGGTGGTTCGGTGGCGGTGAGGAACTAGGCGATGGTGGTGATGTTCCTCCGAGGGAAATGTCGGAATCCTCGCTGCTGCTACCACCAGGCCCCGGGCTTAAAGCACGCCGGGCATTTCCGTTTCCTTGGCCCGATTGTTGCTGCATTCTGCTGCAAATAACACATAATTCGCTGTTACCAACCGATATTATCAATACATTGATTTAACGATTATGAGATGATTATTAATTGGCAACTGGATAAGATTAACCGATATCTTAATAAATGGTGATGGAAGTGATTAAAGAGACCAGCAATGTAGAAATTAAAAATAAATTTTAAAGGATAAGTAATACAGATATGATAATAATGATGGTTTCAATATTTGTCGCTAATTCAAAGATAAAGAACGTAGACTAGAACGGAGAATATCGAAAAAAGAAAATACAGCAGAATGAAAAAGATTCAAAAATCCGGTGATACGCTATTCTTAAATTACATCTCTTATGCAGTGAGAAAATATAATTACAATGGATACTGTCAAAAGTTCCAAAAAGTCGAGATACATTATTCCAGCTTTTAACTTTTGTATTTAATTCTAACTATTATGCAACTGTGTCGTCTGGTTTCGCGAGGACAATGAAAAAGGTTGTTGAATAAAAAAAAAAAAGATAAGGAAAGAGAAATAATCGTTGGCTATTCGAACTTTAAATCAGTTAGCTTTCCGGCGGGGGAGAAGGCGCGTGTGGTCGCGATGGGAATTTTAATTCGTTCCCGCTTTAGGTGGCACGTAGGTTGTGAACGTGGTGGATGTGCGCGATGCTGAAAACACTTTGTTTCCAGTCATCGCCGCGCGGCCGTAATTAATGAGCGCGCTCATCCTTCCCAGGTGGAAGAGACCGAGGATTCACGGGAGAGTAACGACGATCTCCCGGCTCTCGCATAAAGGAGGGGATCCACCTCATTACTCGGCAGATCACGTGTAGATACGGGAAAAACACGGTAAACTTCACACGCGCGCGAAATGACGAATGACCCGGCGTTAGGGGGTAGCCGAGGTGTTCGGCATGTCATCCGGTCGGAAAAGGTATTAAGTCGCTGTTACGTCACGTCGTCTAAACAAAAAGAAAAGAAAGAAAAAAAAAAAACCACCTACAGGATCTGCATCTCCGAGCGGCGACAATCAAACATTGTCGCGATATCTCAGATTGGGCTGGAATTAACTCGTTAAGAGTTTCGTTCCGCGCGAGATCACGTGCGATTATGATCTTGAGAATCGCGGTCTTATCGAACCGCGAATCGATCGAGGAATTTCGCGATGGGAACGCGAATGTTGAGGTTGCGACGGAAGCGGCGAAAAACGTAGGTCGACTCTCTCGATAAACGTCGTCGAGAAAGCCCGTCACTTCGGAAGCGAATGATCGTGTTTATCGCCTATTGACTCGCGCACTTGTAAAGACGATGTGGAAGAGGCGGAGGGCGGAGGGGGAAAGAGGAGCGGGAATAAGAAGGAGGAAAGCCACCCCCGCTTGGAAATACAAGAATGAAGAGCGCGCGCGAGAGTCATTCGCCATTCTGCTAAAGACAATGAGGCGTCGCGGTCGTCTTAAAAGCCTCTCGGCCGCAGATCGATCCTGTAGCGGGGCTTCCGAGATCCTCTGGTATTTTCTTTGCTAATCGAGTCTCGAGTCGGACCCGTACTGTTACCACGGTAACGCCTCCTCGAGAGGCGGAAACGTCGGATTGTTCGCCCCCCCCTCCTCTCTCTCTCTCTCTCTCTTTCTCTCGAAAAAACATGATTGTGTCGAGGAGTAAGCCTCGAGACGAATTACTTGTCTCCGAGAAACACATTCGCAGATGCAAATCGATCTCATATCTACAATTTTTAATTCCATTGAGAAAAGTAACAAGATTATCGCGATACTCCTGTTATTGTTACGAAGTTGAACGTTTTAGTATAATATTTTGCTATTTTAAAACTGGTACTTATGTTCCCTTCAAAATAAATTCTGCAATTATACCGTGCTCGAAAGAGATCCGGGTAGTGGGTAAAAAAAAGGAGAGAAAAAAAAAAAAGAATTTAATCACGTTTTTCACGAGCCTTATTACGCTCGAAATGCGCTTTCGCCTAAGGTTATTTAATTAACACCACGAAAATACGTCTTGCATTTTACGTGAATATTCATGTAAGCTCCCTTTTCATCGTGCCTAATGGCGTACTCAGATAGATTAATATGACACGTCGGCGTAGAGGCGAATCCTTCCGACGGTAGTGTTGAAATAATCTCCGATCGTACGTAGCAGGTACCGCGACTGAAGAGCTAAAAAGTACGCGGTGTGTTAATCAGATGAAATAGCGTCATGTTCTTGCCAATGCAATCGGGACTTGATCGTGGCTGAATTATACTCGTGAATAATGAAATAACCGACCGTGAATACACGCGCCGTTCGATTTTGATTTTGCGCGAGCACATGGTCATGGTACAAAAGACAAGAGCGGCTATTAATACATGATTCAAGATCCGCTATCACAGTCGGGAATCGAGTTCCGTTTTATTACTCGCGCTTTTAATTCTCCGTTTCACTCATCTCCCGTTTGTTATATCTGATATATCTGTTCCGCGGGTATACACATTACATATTTATGTTTATTGCTCTTTCTGAATTTTCGTTCGCAACTTTTAGCACATGTAAAATATATATATATAACCAAACACTTGAATTTCCTTCTTCGTTTGTCGACGTGCTATAAATTTTGTATTTTTCCAAATATCGCTTTTCTTCTCGTCTCACACATTCTTTCACCCACGCCTTCAGCCTTTCTCCCGGTCGCTCGCCCCCATATGCGAGACATCCGACGCGTTTTAATTATGCTCCTGGACCGCTCGCCTTTATCTTCGCCCTTTCACGAGATACCCGCACGAGGCGGCTCGACGACTTATTATATGCCGGGGTCTTCCCGTCCCACACGGTATATTCCACGGCGATCGTCCCCATTGAGAGCGTCTTAATGTCGTGGCATTAAAGCGCGGGGATTCGGGTGTCAATTTTTCGACGCGCATAAAAGGAGCATTAAAGCTCGACGGTTTAAATTTCGTTGCGCCATGCTGCGGTCCGCGCTAATTGCGTTCCGATAGGCGACAAATCGAATATTTCCGACACACCTGTAGCGATGTTGTCAACGCGTCAACGTAACGACGCCTTTATTTTAACGATCTCCCATGCCAAAGTAATTTGCAAATTAAAATCTACTTTTTATCCAAGTATCAAGGGAATGATATGCTGACTTATAGATAAAATATTACGTTTCAATCTTGAGGCGCCAAATGAAGGTACGATTATTTTAAAAAAATACGTATATACGAAAGATATTTTTCCGTTATAACTCCGGAATACCATCCTTGACATTTAGCTGATATTTGTGATTCCCACTTCTCAATTATAAATAGTTGAAACGGTTAAATATTGCATTCAATCGTCGCTTAATCCGATCACCTGTGTGCCTTCAATCCATCCAGCATGCTCGTAATTCTTGTTCCACAGAGCTATTACTTATGAATTTACACATCTTCGTAATATCTTTTAAATATTTCTATCGACGCTAATAAGGGATTAAGCGCGGATCCACCGGGAAGCCAGTTGTAGAATAATTTACGATCGAAATATGCCGGTCTCCTCTCTTCTCGGCGACTAACATTAAATTTTCCGCCCATCGATGTTCGGAAAAAGATTAATGAAGCGTGTGTGTGATTATAATTATCATTCTGTGACCAGTAAACAGATTTTTTGCGCACTCTTTGTCTTACTTGATAATCTCGTTTACAAAACAATGCAAAAATTAAGACCACTTTAATAGCAGACAAGAGCAACGAAGATATTTGTATAGAGATAGATAAAAGAGAAGATGATCTTATCGGCAATATTTCTTTTGTACATTTTTTAAATTCTCAAAAGACGCGATGCTCGCGTTGGTTAGACTCAGAGAGGCGAAAATTGTCGCTCGAAACGTTTGTCCGAATAAAGACGCGCGGCAAACAAAGTTGATTCGTTCTTCTTTCGCGTGAACTAAAAACGATTTCGTACGCACTTCGTTATGCATTTACGCGTTGGTCGCTCACGCGCGCGCACGCACGCACGCACGCACGCACGCACGCACGCACGCGGGCGAATTCGCGTGGCGAATCGCAGCGCCGAAAGAGCCGCGCGATGGCAAAGGCCAACAGGTGACGTTGTACTTTCGGCGCGAGACGCGGCGGTGATTAAAAAAGAAATTCATCAGCGCCGCGCCGGGGGAAAGTATCAGGTGCAGCGGCGGCGAACGAGGGAGGGGGGACGGTGCATCGCCGCCGTTAAAGTATTTATGCCGCATGACGAGTCACTTTTGGAATCTCGCCGTATATTATAAAGTATTATGCACGGGGGACGATGACCAGGGCTCAAACCGTGACGGAAGCTACTGTAATTACGCGCAAGATGGTCGTGCGTAGCCGGTGTTGGTAGCCTCCATTGATCCTCGATCGAGAAACACGCGGTGAAAGGTGTGCGGCTTTTGTCCCGGGCCTCGGGAAGACAAGTGTCCGGCTTTATTCGAATTATTCGGAATTACGCTGAGAAATTGCGTATCGTCGAACGTCGTCTCGTCGAGGCCGTCCTCGGTTGATTATCATTTCAATCGTCGCGCGTCGTACGTAACGCAAGTTTAACCCTGGTATCCCGCCGCCTGGGTTGTCGAGTGTTTTTAGAATATTGAAAATTAGCATGCAAACGTATACTCGTAATATGTTCTTGTCTTCATGAATATATACTATATATAAATACATTTTTTACTCTTTAATATTAATTACCGATTATGCTGTATAATGTTAATTACTGCTGAACCTTGGAGTCGTGACACGGTAGAAAAGCTGACACGGTATAACTAGCGGAACCGGCTAGCTGTGCTGGCGTATTATTCGCCTCGCACGATTCTTCGAATTGAAATTGCAATGCCATCGAGTGAATGTCGACCCAATTCTTCATCCTCGAACGAACGAGTTTCTACGATTTCGTTTCTCGTTCTCTCTGTCTTTTTCTTTTTTTTTTTTTTTCTTATACAGCGTAAAAAAGCGATCGATTTCAGGCCCGATATCGCGAGTTGATCTATCTTGAGAGCTGCGCGAGACCGACGAGGA